ATTCTGTTCTCTAGGAGATGCCCCTAGCAGCACATGTTCTGTACAGAATGGCACTGGCGCGCCTCCCTTAGACCACCCTTTGAGTGAGTGACCCACCCAGCCTCCTTGCTAGACCTCTCCACCTTTCACTGCGCCCTGGGGCTGAGCCCAGTTCCAGACCTGGGTGGCTCGCCCCAGTGGAGCCCTTTATGTTCCTGAGGTCCAGTTCTCTCGGGCTCTGGGACCTGTGCCCACGGCTGTGCTGTCCAGACATTTCCAGTAGTTGAGAGGACACCGGAAGACAGGCCAGAAGCAGTAATGAAGTAGAGGACACAGCAGAAGTCTGGAATTCAAGGCAAAACGAAGAAAACAGGAACAAAGCAAAGCTAGGAAAACAGGAATCCGGACTCAAGGGGCTCAGAGACAGAACTATGTAATAAAGGCCTGAGCAGACTCATTAAATACACTGCACCACCTGCTGTGGGCATGGATCTGACTTGCTCACAGGTGATGCAGATTTCCTGTCAGCACACGTTTCAACACCTAGAGAGATGCATGGCCGCCTGCCTCTGGCGAACGCTAGCTTGCCCCGTAGCTGTGCCACAGGCATGAGCCTGACATAAGGGGAAAAACTATCTTTCATAATTAATGTACCATTTCATTCTTTTTTTCTTGCTTTTAACATTATTACTACTTATATATTATTCCCAATTTAACTTCCCATTTTGTGTTATAGCTAGCATGCTTTATGTACCCTGGGCTACTTCATTCTAACTGAAGGCTTTTGCTGATCTGCAACTCTATTTCCACCTCCTCTCTGAAATCACCTAAATATACGGTGGCACAATCCCTGCAATGCTTCAGCCTTTACTGGTTATCAGCTGTGATCCTTGTCTCTGTTGACAGTGACTCACCCTAAGGGGGCAGCACATTCACTACGACAAACAACACTTCCTACCCTCTCTCAGCGATAAGGATCAGGATGACTGGAACCAGCATGAATGAATGTAGGAACGCAAAAATTCACAACACAGCTAGCTTAGAGCTGGTCTGCAGAGGTTTAATCTTGTTTCTTCCAATCTGGTTTACATGTAAATACTCACAAGGAATTTATACACTCTAAAGCATCTCTTTCAAATGCCATAAATTATAATAAATCAGTCAGATTTATTATAATTTATTATAATCCAGTACATTTTAGGAATAGTATATTTACAATTAATCTTTTGATCCTTCATGAAAGAACTGTGATAGATAAGACAACAATATGCCCTACTCAGCTTAACCATCTCACAAAAGTTGTCAGCTCAACACAACAGCTGTTCATCTCTTTACTTGTACACAGTATTTAACCACCACCACAAGATTCTTCTCACAAAAATCCTATA